ACATGGCTTCTGACAACATGGAGGAATTAACCAGATGAAGAAGGAAGGACATTCAGATGGAGGAAGTGACCTCTGCAGAGCTCTGGAGGCCAACGAGTAATGCAGCATGGCCAGCAAGTAGAAAGAGTGTGGTCTGGAGGGGGAGGGAGGTGGTTGTGAGAGCTGACGTTGGGTGGGTGAGCTGGGACCAGGTCGTGGGCATGTTATATGCCATGCCAAGAAGTTTGCACTTTGCCCCAAAGCCACTGAGAAGCCTTCATGAGCTTTTAGGCAGGGAAATAACATGATCAGGTTTCCACTGTTTTAAGTATTAACTTTAGTATAGGCAAGGATTTGGAGGGTCCCTGGCTAGAGAGGGGAGCTCATTTAATTGGCTGTTGTAATCCAGGTCAAAAAAAAAGAAGAAAAAGTAGTTGCTTTAATTAATTCAGAAGTGGGAATGGAGAGACTTGAATTGATTCAAGAGACAATAATGAAGACTGGGTTGTTAATTTAAGGATTGAGGAGATGAGTGTGGGAGTGGATGGGTGAAAGACAGGGAGAAACTCACCTTTTAAAAAGCTACCTAGTGACATCATCTGCATATACAAAGTAGGTAAATAGATCTCAGAATTCATCATGGGGGACTCCCAAGGAATTTCTGATATGCTATTTCTCAGTCTCCAGTGTTGAGAATCACTGTTACAGAGGCTATAATGTAAAGGGTTTTATGCTTTAGACCCTGTTTTTATTCATTAGGACTATGTATATGAAATTTACCTCATTTGAGGGGAAAATACTTTTAAGAAAGAACCACTTCAGTTCAGTTCAGTTCAGCCACTCAGTCATGTCTGACTCTTTGCGACCCCATGAATTGCAGCACGCCAGGCCTCCCCGTCCATCACCAACTCCCGGAGTTTACCCAAACTCATGCCCATCGAGTCAGTGATGCCATCCAGCCATCTCATCCTCTCTTGTCCCCTTCTCCTCCTGCCCCCAATCCCTCCCAGCATCAGGGTCTTTTCCAATGAGTCAGCTCTTCGCATCACGTGGCCAAAGTATTGGGAGTTTCAGCTTTAGCATCAGTCCTTCCAATGAACACCCAGGACTGATCTCCTTTAGGATGGACTGGTTGGATCTCCTTGCAGTGTGTTCTTGTAATTCCACTTCTCTTGTAACACTTGAAAGAACAGGACCCCATGCTTGGGGATCTGCAGTAAATGTTTCAAGTCAGCCCCCAGCCACACCCCCACCTAGATTGTGAAAATCTGACCCTAAGGTTTGCTGTTTCCCCAAGGACTGAGGCATGTGATGGAGAAAAAGATGGGAAACCAATAATTAATGCTTTTGTTCATCCTTCATCTCACCTTTAAAGGTAATTGACAACCATAAAGAAAGGCCAATTTTTAGGGCTAAGTCTAATGCACTTGGGCTTCCCAGGTGGTGCTAGTGGTAAAGAACCTTCCTGCCAGTGCAGGAGATGTAAGAGACATGGGTTTGATCCCTGGGTTGGCAAGATCCCCTGGAGAAGGGTACAGCAGTCCACTCCAGTGTTCTGGCCTGGAGAGTCCCATGGACAGAGGAGCCTGGCGGGCTACAGTCCATGGGGTCACACAGAGTCAGACACAATGAAGCAACTTAGCGTGCATGCATGCTGACGAACTTAAGGAGCTTGCTGTTTTTGTGTCAGGAAGCTCAAATTTTGCTTTTTTTCTGGCTCTTCTGGGCCCATGTAACTAACTCTAAAGAGGAATCTCTCTAAGGAAGATGATTAAGAAATGATCTTGTGAATCTTCTTGACCGAAAGGATGTGGGAAAGCAGACTAAAAATAGTTAATGACTTTTCTAAGGGAAACTTCAGTAAGAATGACTTGCATTGTCTTCCTTGGGCAATGCTTTCTTTTTCATCATTACTCTGGAAATTCAGCTACCCACTCCATTAGCAAGCATTTCTGTGGAGAAGGAAAGTTAAACTGGAAAAGGAAATTGTCAGCTAATTCTAAGGCTATGACTTCCTTCATTTCAAAACTGGTAAACCACACATATTACATAGACTAACATGATGATTTGTGTTTTGAAAAAATAGCCAACTGTTACATAGTGTATGGATAATAATAGAGAACATGAGTGAGATAGGTGAAAAGCATGAGATCTGAATTTTTATTTTAACTTTGAGGATTTCTAGAAACCAGGATGCAGCTCTATTTTAATGATCTATATAGACCAAAAGGATAACCCAAAGTGGAGAAGTTCTTCATTATTGTGCCTTTACTTTACTTTTTATTACGAGATATAACATATACAGAAAAGGTTAGTGTAACATATGCACCATTGAATAGTTATAAAGTGAACATCCATATAAATACTGTTCAGATGCATTAGAGAATCTTAATCAAGAGTCTACTGACACTTGCAGAGAATTTGCCCATATCTCTCTTTTTTTAACACTGCATAGGTTTCCACGCTGCTAAGATAATACGGTTGTTTAAGAAACCTAGTTTTTGACATCCTCTAGCTCACTGAGGTGTAGTGACCCTGTCTTCTGTCTGAGCCTTGGGTGGGTCCCTCTGTATCTTGCGTGTCTTTTTTTTTTTTAAGTTATCCTCGCCCATCCCTTCCAGGAAAGGCTCTCTGGGACCCAGCCACGCCCAGGCCCCGCCCCTTTCGGGCCCTGGCGCTTGGTCTCCATGGTTACGCCGAGAGTACCGGGCTGCCGTGAAAGCCCCCGGGAGAATCGGGCAGACCCTGCCCCAGCTCGTCACTACAGCCGAGGTCAGTGCAGCCCGGGCTCCGCGCCCTTGATCCCGGAGTGCACCTCGCGAGGAGGCGGGCATGGGTCCGCGGGCGGAGCCTGTCGTCTAACCTGGTTCAGGCGACGCTGAGAGTCAGGACTCTTTCCGGGCCCCGCCGCTGAGCGTAAAGACGGCCGCTTCCGGTCGGAGGCTCACAGGTCCGCAGTCAGACGGCTGACCCGTGCTGGGCGCCGCTCGCACCCGCGCCGGCCAGAGCTCGGGAGGTCTGGGCTGGGGCGGGGGGTGTGGGCAGGTCGCGGGGCGGGACCGAGGAGAAGCGGGAGAGACCTGGTCTGGGTGCCCGACGGCGCATGCGCACACGCGGGCCTTCGCTCCGCGGAGCAGGCGCTTGTTACCTACCAGCTGCTGGTTGATGCGCTCACACTCTGCCGCGCGCTGTGCTAACCGCCAAGTATGTAGACTGGGAAAGGAGTAAGTCAAGGCTGTATACTGTCGCCCTGCTTAACGGAGTGCATCTTGCGAAATGCCGGGCTGGATGAAGCACAACTGGAATCAGGATTGCTGGGAGAAATATCAATAACCACAGATACAGAAATAACACCACCCCAATGGCAGAAAGTGAAGAGGAACTAAAGAGCCTCCCGATTAAAGTAAAAGTGGAGAGTGAAAAAGTTGGCTTAAAACTCAACATTCAGAAAACGAAGATCTTGGCATCCGGTCCCATCACTTCATGGCAAATAGATGGGGAAACAATGGAAACAGTGACAGACTTTATATTCTTGGGCTCCAAAATCACTGCAGATGGTGACTGCAGTCATGAAATTAGAAGAGGCTTGCTCCTTGAAGAAAAGCTATGACCAATCTAGACAGCATATTAAAAAGCAGAGACATTACTTTGCCAAGAAATATCCCTCTAATCAAAGCTATGGTTTTTCCAGTAGTCATGTATGGATGTGAGAGTTGGATGGTGAAGAAAGCTGAGCGCCGAAGAATTGATGCTTTTGAACTGTGGTGTTGGAGAAGACTCTTGAGAGTCCCTTGGACTGCAAGGAGATCAAACCAGTCAATCCTAAAGGAAATCAACCCTGAATATTCATTGGAAGGACTGATGTTGAAGCTGAAACTCCAGTACTTTGGCCACCTGATGAGAACTGACTCATTGGAAAATACCCTGATTCTGGGAAAGATTGAAGGCGAGAGGAAAAGGGGATGACAGAGGATGAGATGGTTGGATGGCATTACCGACACAATGGACATGAGTTTGAGTAAACTCCAGGAGTTGGTGGTGGACAGGGAGGCCTGGCATGCTGCAGTCCATGGGGTCACAAAGAATCCGACACGACTGAGTGACTGAACTGAGCTGATGTAGAACTCAGTCCTCAGGACAGCTCCAGGGAGAGAGTACTAGTAGGATTTATACTTATCAGATAAGAAAATCACTTCAAAGAGAAGTTAAGGAAATGCGCAAGGTTTCAGCTAGGAAATGGGGCTCGGTGGGAACCAGGCTCTCTGGTCCTCCTGGACTAGATGCCCAGTGGTGTTGACCTTACCTGAACCCTAATATGCTGAAAGTGATCTTTACTTACCTGGGATTGCCTTTGTTATTCTCTGCATGCTGATTTCCCCTGTGCTTATTTACAGATACAAATCAGAAAACCTGATCACTATTAAAACCTACCATCTACCACCTTTCCAGGAGTCCATTTTTTTCCCCATGATCCATGACTCATTATATGTTTTGCTTTTTTTGTTTTCATGTTTTTAATCAAGAGTCTAAACCTTGACTTGGATGTGCAAGAAATAGAATTTTGATGATTCGAGCAAGAATTGTGTTCCAAGAGTCTCTGATAATTATGAAAGGTCATTTAGTGAATGTGATGAAATAAGCATGTCCTGTTTCAAGCTGCCTTTGCCGCCTACATAGTGGAATTTCTCACTAATTGTACTCCTACACCCATCCCCCGTCTCTAATACTGTTTAACATTTTTTAATTAAAAATATCATGTTATAAGGGTACTTTTGATGACCACCATCATTTAAATAAGGAGGAAATGTTTCAATCATTAACTCCCAATTGCTCTCACTGTTATTATCAGTCCTTCATTTTTATAAATATGAAACCAACTAATGAAAAACCAGAGGGGCCTATATACTAGTAAATATTATTAAGTTAATAAATAACATGACTCTTTACAAATTTATTAGTGGTGGAATCTCAAAAGGAAAAAATAATATATAAATACAATTTAAAAACTCTTTTTATTTAGAATGCTTCCCACTCAGGCTGAAAGTGTTATAAAGAGTATCATTCGAGAAATAGGACAAGAATGTGCAGCCCATGGAGAGATTGTTCCTGAAACTCTAGTTGCTTTTATGGTAAGAATAAATATTTTTGTGAATTACTGCTTTATTAAAATTTTTTTCAGCAGTGCCTATTTTCTCTTAGAATTCTGTGACATTTTCTTATTCCATTGAAAACCTATGGATATTGTTGGACAAATTGTGTTTGTGTGTGCTCAGTTGTGTCCGACTCTTTGCAACTGCACTGTAGCCTGCGAGGCTCCTCTGTCCATGGGATTTTTCCAGGCAAAAATACTGTTGTTGTTTTTTTTAAGTCTATAAAGCATGTTCGTTCTAGATTTAAGAGACTGATTTAGAAGATCTCAAAGAATCTTAGAAACATCAATAATGTTTTTCCTGTGCTGTAAGTTTTTTTCTTTTTAACATGTATTGTTCACTGTTGTAAAAATTACTCACTTCCTTGATATCTCTCTGTTCTTGCTTTTCATTTAATGATACACAATAAAATATGATAAAATATTCCAATTAGTTTCCCAATGTAAAATTGCTCCCTTTCTCCAGTTTCTGATGAAGACGCTGATGAATTGGGCTGTGAGAAATTCAGCTGAGTGATCGACCCCTGGGTAACCAAGAGAGAGTTGTTTGAAAAATGGAAAAATATTAAACTAATGTTGTGGTAATATGAAATAAATGTGATGGGCTTTTTCCTACTCTCAGGTGAAGGCTGTTGTTCTGGACCCAAGTAATGGCTTTAACACGGATAGAACGCTCACAAAAAGTGATGTGCAGAAACTGGTAAAGGTGATTATCCAACATTTCTCAAATTTTGAATGATTTACTCTCAATTCTAAATATTTGATTTGTGTTGATCTATAGTGCCTTCAGCTCCATGAAACAAAACCCCACCGAACAGTGGTGCAAACAAATGAGAGATTAATTTTTTTCTCATAAAATGAAGTCTAGAGGTTCATAGGTTGTTTTTCCTGACTTCCTAGGTCACCATCATGCATGTGTTTTCACCCCAGGGTCACAAGAAAGCTCTTCCACCTTTAGGCAGTTATAAGGTGAGAGGACAAAGGTCAAAGTATGTGTGCAATTGGATCTGTGAGTTTGTTTTTGGAAAATAATGGGCTTTCCCAGAATCCCTCCCATCTCTTTCCACTTATGGCCTGCGTGCGTGCTCAGTCATATCTGACTCTTTGCCAGTCAGTACACTGTGGCCTGCCAGGCTCCTCTGTCTGTGGAATTTTCCAGGCAAGAACACTGGAGTGGGTTGTCATTTCCTTCTCTAGGGAACCTTCCCAACCCAGGGACCGAACCATATATCTGGTGTCTCCTGCATTGGCAAGTGGATTCTTTATCACTGTGCCTCCTGGGAAGCCCTTGCATTTATTGATTAGAATGATATTGCAACTGAGCCTGGGATATTGATTGTTTTCCTCTTTCCTTTTTCAGCTGAAAGAAAATCTCTGGCTTAATCCAGATTGAGGCTTTGTTAGTAAGGAAGGAGGGGTATGGATGCTGATGGGTAACAGTGTCTGCCACAGTATTTTAGAGACATCTTATTCATCTAATGAGACATTGAGAAAATTATTAACTGATTTATATACAGTTATATATAAATTCATAATCATATAATTATTGATTCAACATAATTTGTTTTATAAAAGAAAAATTGAAGCCAAGAACAAAATGATTCATAGGATAGTTTGAGAATTTGAGATTGATGTCTATACACCGCTGTATTTAAAAGAAATGAAGAGCTAACCATAAAGGCTCTACTATAGAAGAAAGAAAATAAAAGAAATCAAGTAGATGTGCCTGAAAAGCAGTTGTAAGAACTAAAGAAGGCAGGAACTTTAGATACTGTTAATTTTTCCATATGTTTTAAGTTTGACTCACTGGGTTTAGATGCTTAAATGTTTATTTTCTAAGTATTTGTGAATGGATTTCCTAAAATTTCAACATTATTTTTTCCCCTGGGCTTAATTATTTTAATTCCCTCCTTCACACAAAATATTTGAAACAAGCGTTCCCAGACTTGTATGTGGATATTTTCTGAGCTCAAGCAAATGGTAGAGAAAATTTTTATCATCTCTGTGTCTCTCTCAGCCATCAATTTACATAGTGGAACACAGGTCTGTCCGCAGATGTTAGAGGATCAGGATGGACTTTGGAAGCTTGGAACTAGGGGATATGTTGTTAGGATAACCATGCAGAAGAAACTCCATGATTCTCTATGGCAGCTGAGAGCTGGGTCTTTCTGTGCTGAAACTGAGAATGTGCTATGAAGCCTGTTCTTGGCAATAGGGGAAATGACTAATGGTCAGTCAGAAATTTCGTTGGAAAGCTGTGGAGAAGAACCAAGGAGGGGCAGAAAGGGTTTTTCTCCTTTTTGTGGCTCAGGAAGCAATTCTCCCCCCTCTAACTCAACTCAATTGGCAAGAATAAAGTTTGATATATTTTTTGGATTTTATTTTTCTTATTGAAGTGTAGTTGATTTACAATATTGTGTTAATTTCCACTGCACAGCAAAGTGAATCAGTAATACACATATGTAAATTCTTCTTCATGTTCTTTTCCATTATGGTTTATCCCAGGATATTGAATATAGTTCCTTATGCTCAGTGCACTATTAATGTGACAGGGACCTTAACTGTCACTTTATATCATAATTCAAGTGATAAAGAGTGTTTCCTTTTTCCTCAATTAAGAATCATGTGGACGAGCTAACTTGTGCATTTTTAAGGTCTGTGCCTGGCCCAGCACCTCTCCACCGGGATGGGTCCAGGTGTCCCATCCTCACGCCTGCCTTCTCTCCCTTCTCCCAGGAAAGTACTGCTGGTGCCTGGGAGGTGGGCTGGGTGAAGCTGGTGTGCCCGCCAGGTACAGACATAAAGTCTCACGTGAGACAGGGAAGAGTGGGGCTGGGGGGTGGAGAAGAGAGGAGAAAAGAAAAATTCACGTGGACGACGTGTCCTCAAAGGGCAAAACAGAGGAGGAGGGTGAGCTATCTGTGTGTGCGTTGGTGCGGGGGGTGGGGCGGGCCTGGGCAGGCAGGAGAAAACGGACCAGAGGAGGAAATTTGGAAACAGAAGGCGGGCTCGGAGATTGTCCCTGAGCAGAGGATGGTCGCCATAGCGGCTTCTCATAAAATGCACATGACCTCCAGCATCAGCTAAAAAAAGAAGGAGCATGAAGGTTCAAATAAATGGTAATGAGGGACTCAGGAAGAGCTCCAGTCATGAGCATAAGCTTCATGAAATGCCCAGCCACGTGGAGTCTTCAGACTAACCTTGTCGAGGACCTTGCCTCCAGCTAGACCACCAGCCACCTGGGCACGGTAATATTGGCTAACTCGGGGGAAATGGCTTATTACTTAATACATGTTACTGTTGAATAGTCCATAAAGCATGAAGTTCTGAGGAAAAAATAATACAAGGGGCTATTGGTAGATAAATATCAGAAGCTATTGCCTTGATGTTTCTCTTTGATTTTAAAAATAACTTCTGATTGAGAAGCATTTATGGGATATTCTCTTGTAGCTTTGTGTGAATCGGCTATTGGACAGCAAAAATCCTTCCCTGGACACCATTAAGATGCAAGTCTACTTTGATATGAATTATACAAGTCGAGGTAACATATATCTACCTATATTGATACCCTTTAAAAGAAGATTCATTTAAAAAAAAGATTCATATTGTATTTCAGGTTATAGGGATTCATTTGGTTGATGAAGAACAATATAATTTTTTTGTCTGTCTTTTGAATTTTTTTCCAACTTTGAAGAATGTAATAACATTGGAGATGCGAAATGAGACCATTGGCCTTAATGAGTGTCAAAAGTTTCTGAGTCTGTTGTGCTTTACCTGTTATATGACTCATATATAATATCGTAAAGCAGCCAGCCCATTGAAGTTCAAATTTTTAATTTGCTGATTTTTTTGGTTCCTGGTTTATATTATTATCTCATAATGTTTCCGTAAATTATGTAACTTACCTAAAAATGAAGTTAATGATGGGAAATATAAGCTAAGAACGTATGTTGTGTGTAAATTGTTTATTACATACATCCAAGATAAACTGGAAACAAGATAAGAAGGAAAATAAAGATCGCCTCTGCTTGACTGTAATGGAATCATTATTAACCATTTGGTGATTTTCATTGTCTTTTTTCCCTCTATGTATTAAACTTTTAGTTATGCTATATGTGTAAAATCATGTATCTTGCTGTTTTGATTAATAATAATGACATTTTAGGGCTTCCCTCGTAACTCAGTTGGTAAAGAATCTGCCTGCAATGCAGAAGACCTGGGTTGATTCCTGGGTTGGGAAGATCCCCTGGAGAAGGAGCCGGCAACCCACTCCAGTGTTCTTGCCCAGAGAATCCACATGGACAGAGGAGCCTGGCGGGCCGCAGTCCATGGGGCCGCAAGTCGGACACAACTTAGTGACTAAACCATCACAATGACATTTTAAAACAATAGTAATGAAGTGATGTACTTTAGATTTTTCTTAATTTCAAAGTTTGAGGCTTTGTGATAAAGTTATAGCTATAAATTGTGTATGGTTGATATTTTAATTATTGCCCTTGTTAAAGGGTGTCTAATTGACTTGGTTGCAACAATTATAGTGCTGGTGAAGTGTGGCTCCTGCCACAGTTAAGCTTAAACCTCATCATATCACAGGGAGAAGGGAGAGGGATACAGTTCTTGATGCAACATTGCATTACAGTAATGCCATTCAAAGGAAATGTATCTAGAACTAAAATAGAAACACACATAGTTGAAGAGGAATATTTATACTATCTATATGGGTATTTATATTTGCTTACATACAGTATACTACATGTGCTTACCAATAGCATATAGATAGTACCTATATTTATACCGTATATGTTTATAATGTATATTATAAAATATCTTATACTCTCTGCTTAACTAGGAGGTTTTAGCCCTATCTATTATGTTTGGATTGTCTGTTTAAAAGTCTTAAATGTTTTGACAAAGTATGCCATTTAAATCACTAGTACATCTTCCCCACTAGATTCTTGTCTTGAAGTTACTTGCTGGCCACTGTTTATTTTTTTGATGACTATATCCTTGGAAAATACTTGTTTTCATGGAGTAGAATTGCCATACCATGCCATTTCCCCCTCTGGTCCTGCTTTCTTATGGGAGAAGAATTCTAAGTATCGTATATGGAACATTGTCTGTTGCCATTTTTAGAGGAATTTCTTGAAGAACATCACCGGGTCATAGAGTCGAGATTAAGTTCTGTTAGCAGAGAGATTACAGACAGTCGAGCGTGTGCCCGAGAGGAGCTGGAAAGCCTCTATCGCAAGATCGTCAGCTACGTGTTACTGCGCTCTGGGCTGGGGTCCCCGACAGACATCAAGATTGTCAGAGAGGCAACAGGTAAAAAATGTACACCATTTCCATTCCATGTGTGAACGTACATGAACATCGTATCTTATAAAATATGGTGAATTACAAGTGTTGAACGTTGACGTTTTCTCCTTTTGTCTGAAAACAAAAATTAACACAAATAAGAGGTTAAAATTTACCCACATTCCTCTTACACGGTGTAGCATCACTAAAACTCAAGTAGCACCTCTGGGAAGTGAATATGTTTGTCTTCTTAGAGCTTATGTACCTAGGGACCTATTAGTCCTCACTAGAGAAGCGTTGGCAGTATGATTAAGAGGACCAGGCTGACTGAGGGGTGGGAAGTGCTGGGAGAGTAAGTTTCATACTGATGAAAGGAGTAGAGTCTGTCATCTAGGATGGATGAAGGTAAACAGCACTGTTTTATCCTTAGGAGATACTTGCCCAGTTTCGTATAAAAGATAAGGAATAGGCAATATCTCTAATCTTCCCACAGCTTTCTTCCATAATTCTTTTAAAGCATCATTTTTTTTTTCCCTACTCAGACTCCTACTTAGAAAGCTTGTTTGAATGCCCATTGCCAAAAAAATTACTGATGGATGCATAATTGTTGAAACGGATGTGAAGCAATGGCATTATTTTTAGCAGCTCAGCTTTGATGTATGCTAAATTTTGCCAAGTATTCTGGAATCAGGTATCAGACAGCTAAAGAATAATCTAAGTAACTCTATAAAGACAAGCCCCCTAGCTTTCTGCTGAAAGAGACTTGTTATTTGAGTTCTGGTATCTTTACCATTTTGTTGTCCTTTTGGTGGTTTGTTTAGCTGCTCTACAGAGTGTATTTCCTCAAACTGAGCTTGGGACGTTTCTAACCCTTTCTAAGAAGGACAAAGAATGCCAGCTGAAAGAACTCGCCATGATTGTGACTGGAATTCGTTTATTTAACCGAGACTGTGGAAAGGGAGGAGAAGGCATCGATGACTGTAGGTATATCATTAGGTTAATCCTATAGGTTACACAGGTTTAAAATTTAATGGGAACAGAGGAAAATAATACAGAGCACACCACTGGCGTTCTTGGATTTAACGTTTGCAGTTCTGACTATACCTTGGGTACTGCCACTGTTCATAATGTACAGTAATCTTTCATTTTGTGGGGACAAGACCATACAGTTTTATGTACCATGAAGCTAGGGGATTTGATCCCTGCATTGGGTAGGTCCCCTGGAGTAGGAAATGGCAACCCACTCCAGCATTCTTACCTGGAAAGTCCAGGGACAGAGGAGCTTGCTGGGCTACAGTCCGTTAGGTCGCAGAGCCGGACACGACTGAGCACGCACCGCAGATGAAGCTAGAACGGGGCGTGAATCAGTAAAAGGGCTGGGAGGGCCTGCTACAGTCCAGCCTCCCCCATTCAATGGGCCTTTATGTTCTGTGCACGCACACGTGCTCAGCTGTGTCTGACTCTTTGCGATCCCATGGACTGTAGCCCACCAGGCTCTTCTGTCCATGGGATTTTCCAGGCAAGAAAACTGGAATGGTTGCTATTTCCTACTCTGGGGGATCTTCCCAACCCAGAGATCGAACTTGCGTCTCTTGCATCTCCTGCATTGGCAGGCGTTTTTTTTTATTATCGGTACCACCTGGGAAGCCCTCCAAGCCAAATAACCAAAATGGAATAAAATTCAGTGATTCAAAAAATAAAAATCACCCTGAAAAGAAAACTGTTGCTGATGTAGTTAATGGAATGAAATAAAATAAGAGGAGAATATTTGCAAGTCTATAAATCCAGAGCCTCTACTATGCTGTTATATACTTAATGCATTCGTTATCTGTAAGTTTGAAAGCATTTGTTGAAATATTTGCTCAAAGACCAACCAGTAGGAGTAAATTTCTTATGTATTTGGTACATATGTAGGCCCACTGAGAAGGTGTTAGTGTCTATTACCAGATCACTGATCTAGTACAATAGGGTAATTGTTTTTGCAATTTAAAAAATGTTCTAAGAAGTCCAATTCCCATTCTTCACAAATTCCCCTACTTTGCTAGGTGATTCTCTTGTTTTTCTGTATCCCAAGAGCTTCTTAAGTGGTACTGTTTTATTTCCTTTTTTACAAGCAGTAGAAAAGATTCACAGAAGAAGAGATATAGTGGCTTTTCCAGAAGCATGTAATTAATAGCACACCACACCAAAGCCTGCCTGTTCTTTAGACGCTTCTGTATTTTATTGACCAGAGGTGGCCTGCTTTAGCTTCTGGTTCTTATTCTGGCCGTGTGGTGTTCTCTTTGGTTTGTTTGTTGATAGGTTTTTCTTTTTGGGTTCTTTCCTTCCTGATGTAGAAGTGATGAAGCACCTGCCTCCTCATTATTAATTTGGTTAAAAATGAAAACAGACTCAGCCTACTGTTTAAATATGACTGCCCTCTGGGCTTTTTTCCTGAATTCTTTTAGCTTGCCCCATGTTTGTGTTATTATACCTTTCAAACCAGTGCCAGCTATTCTACAGGAAGCAATCCCAGCCACCACTCAGCACGTTGATTCCCAGCTTGAGCTGGTTCAGGACCAGGCATACCGCTACACAGCCATACTGGAGAAGGTAGCAAACAACCCCCTCATGGGTCAAGAACTTCAGCCCTATATGTTAAGAGAAGCCCTGTATAACGTGCGGCAATGCGAGATCTTCCTTCAGGTCATTTTGGTGAGTTACATGTTTAGCACTTTCTGTGATCCAGGTTCCAACTTTTTCACTTACTGTGATCCAGGTTCCAACTTTTTAAACATTCTTTTCCATCATGGTTTATCATAGGATATGGAATATAGCTCCCTGTGCTATATAGTAGGACCTTGTTTGTTGTTTATCACAACCTCCTTATATATAACGGGGTGACCAGGTCATTGATAAAGAAAGCAACGTTAATAACTGTTCAGCATGTATTGCGTCTGTAGGATCCAGGGCTGAAATGGAAGTGGGAGAGTTGGATGCTGATCTTGGTGAAGGTGTGTTGAGAGGATGTTTGGTGTTGTTGCATGGTTGCTATGGTGATGCAGGTGTATGTCTGTGCGTCAGACATGTTGCATTATTTGCTTTCATTCAGAGCAAGTGTCTAACATATAGTTTGGCAGGTCGTTGGCACTCAAAGAACTCTTATGTAATTACTTGTTCTAATTGTAAAAATTGGTGGAGAAGATTTTTTTTTTTCTGCTTCTCTAGATCTAATAAACAAACCAAACACTCTCCCTGCAAAGAGTTGGAAAATATGGTATGGTAAAGTGGTGATTTTCAACTTTTTTTTTTTAAAAGCATCAGAGCCCTTTCTGATAGAAACTTACTCAGAAGAAGTTTGCTTACTCCTAAAAATGTAAGGCAAGTATCTAGACAAAAGGATCAGAGGCCCTTTTCCTCAAGGAGCATTCCCAAGCCATCTGAAGATTCCAGGGAACACAGTTTGTTAACTGTGTGATGGCAGCAAGCCAAGTTTCTACCCGTTACTGTTCTTTTTCCTGATTTTTCCCCCAGCTGTATTGAGGTGTACTTGACAGAGTCGTAGGATACTTCAATTGTGCCATGTTTTGATTTGCTCTACCTCTGTATCCCCCACTGAATTGACTAACACAGCCATCCCCTGGTCACTGCTTACCTGCACACAGCCGCTTATTTTCCAGTACCCGGGAGGCCGCAGGCTTGGTGGACCTGTGTTGTGTGCAGGTGAGCACTAACGTCTTGAGGGACCCAGCAGGCTGCACTCCGCCCGCTTTGTTTCACTTGTGGTTTGGTGACTCAGGAGCACTTTGTTCGTTTCGGCACTCAGGATCCTTGCTTTCGCCGCGATGCACGGACTCTGCTGTGGCTTGCAGGCACAGCGGGCGCAGCGTGCAGGCTCGGGAGCACGCTGGCTTCAGCAGTCGTGGCACACGGGGTCTCTCGTTGTGGCGTACCAGCCGAGTTGCTCCACAGCACGTAGCATCCTAGTTCCCGACCGGGGATTGAACCCACGTCCCCCACCTTGCAAGATGGATTCCCAAGCACTGGACCACCAGGGAAATCCCTTGATACTGGTTTTGGATGCCCTAGCTCTGCCTTCTCTGCTTACCGCCGCTCCAGAGGAGAGAGAGATGGCACCCGAAGACATGAGCTCATGGCAGCAGACTAGGAGGGGTCCTCGCAGCTGGCCTCCTCTCTGTTTGCCTCCAGAAGGGAGCACTCTAGATCAGCCCCCTGAAACCAAACCACTCTTTAGGGTAGATGTTCCCCTAACGTGCACTTGTGGCTAGCACCTCATGTAACTGGTCAGATACTAAGAGGATTTCACAGTCAGTTTTAGTGTGCAGGGGTCCACAGGAGCAGACTCTCTTATTTACTTTTGTCCTTTATGCTCAAAAGGGATATTATAAGAAAGAACTTTGAGAAGCTGTCACACATACTCTCAGGATGTCGCGGAGGATGTGTTCATTCTATAGTATCTTCTCACAGCTTTCACACATGAACCATATTCAGCCAGCTGGGTGCTGTGCCATTCTTTGGGATCTTATTTCCTCCACCAAGAATTGAACCTGTGCCCCCTGCTTTGGGAACGAGGCATCTTAGCCACTGCACCACCAGGAAAGTCTTAAATTCCCCGACAGTCTTAAATTCTCATTGGCGTTCTTACTCTTACGTCTATACTAGAGGGACGGTGAGCAGCGGGTTGAAGTGGTAAGTGTGGATCTTGCAGCCAGACTTCCTAGGTTCCAATCTTGCCTTTGCTACTTACTAAATGTGTGTCCTGCATGGAGTTGCTTGACGTCTCTGTGCCTTAGTCCTCACATCTGTAAAAAGGGGTCGGTGATGGTCCCCAGTAGGTAAATAAGGTAGAGCAGTGTCGTCAGGCAGATGAGGATGATCCTGACAACAAGCACAGTGTTTACCATCATCACCGTCAGGGCATTAGCAGAGCGGTTCTAGCTTCATTCCCACAGGGGCACGAGCTGAAGGGCTCTTAGCTTTCTTGGAATATCTCCTTTCCAAACCCTCTGTTGCTCATGTTACTGCGGAAGTTCACATTCTGACCTTAGCACTCTTCACGACTCTTCCTTACTCCCCTTAGTCAGTGTTAGAACGAGTTTTCTCAAGTTTCTGACTTTCTTGCTGTTTCTTTTTGTTGTTTTTATTTTTATTGAGACATACTTGAATTACAGTATTAGTTTCAGGTGTACAACATAGTCATTCAAAATTTTTAAAGATAGTACTCCGTTTTTAGTTATTATAGAATATTGGCTGTGTTCCTTGTGCTATAAAAATATATCCTTGTAGCTTATTTATTTTATACATTGTAGTTTTTAATCTCTTAATCCCCTATCTCTATTTTGCCCTTCCCTGTTCTCCACTAGTAGCCACTAGTTTGTTCTCTATATCTGTGAGTCTTTTTTAAAAAATATTCACTAGTCTTTTATTTTGTGCATTCCACAGATAAGTGGTAACATACAGTACTTGTCTTTCTCAATCTGACTTATTTCACTAAGCATGATACCCTCCAGGTCCATCCATGCCATTGCAAATGGCAAAATTTCTTTTGATGGCTGGCTAGGATATGGTAGTTTTTAATACTCCAGCCTTCCCCTATCAATCTGCCTTAGTTACAGTTTAAGGTTGATTGTTACAGAATGGATACAATTTAATGAGTATTATTGCTAGGTTATAAATTACCTCAGTTTATATTTAGCTGAAACCTTTTCCTGTCCATGAAATCTATGAATGCTCTTTTTTTAAAGTCATATTATTTGAAGAAATATTAATACGATTTTTTGAAATATTGATTTTGATTCAAAAATTTTTCTTTTGCCAATGCTGCATTCAGTTTATGTAGACATTTGGAAAATCTAGTTGTATCCTGGGTAAGATAGTGAGCTATTGTCTTTTGATCAGGACTTTATCTGCTATAGTGAACAAATTCAAATATTCTGGAAGAGAAAGGAAGGGGTGATTGCAGTCCTGCTGACTGTCTTAGCTGAAAGAATAGAATCCCACCCCCTGTGGGCTTTCGATGAGCGCGGCAGTTACCAAAGAGAGAACGCCACTTGCTGTTATTGCACCAGAAAACCTGCATGACACACAAGAGCTCTTAAAGCACATAGGTCAAGCCTTTTGCGTGCTTCCTCTGCCCAGGCTGTGTGTGCTGGGCCATTTGCAGAATAGATTACACAGGGCTTCTTGATTTTTCTGAAAATATAAGTAAAATGTCAGTTAGGTGGAATTTGTGCTTGTTTTAGATTTGTTGGAAAAATGTTCATAGAAGAAAGTATGAGAAGCTTATAATTTAAAAAGCGGGGGAGAGGAAGAATAATGCTAGGTACGCATGCTTTCCCCAAGCATTTTTTGGACTGCGCTATGAAAAGAAAGTTTGTGACTTTATTCTTGTTTTTTTTGCCTCCAGCAATCTCATTAGAAATAGCTTTGTGTTAGGAGGCTGTCAGGTTCATGGTGGCAGATACAAGTTTTTCAAAATGTGAATTTTATCATGGATAACAAAAACTATCCTTTTCCCGAAATGACGGACTCATGTCGTTGACTCTCAGGAAACTATCTGATGCCAATAGATAAGGCTCAAAAATCATAGTTTGTCTGCCAGTTGTTCTTTTCATATAAAAATGCTTTTCTGCTAGAGAGAGGAGAAAAAGGCTAGTTCAGCTCGCAACCCAGTCATGTAAGAGAACTATGTGTTTTAATATGAAGGATAGCTTGGCTGGTAAAGAATCTGCCTGCAATGCAGGAGACCCCGGTTCGATTCTTGGGTCAGGAAGGGATACCCTACCCGCTGGAGAAGGGGTAGGCTGCCCACTCCAGCGTTCTTGGGCTTCCCTTGTGGCTCAGCTGGTAAACAATCCGCCTGCAGTGCGGGAGACCTGGGTTCGATCTCTGGGTCGGGAAGATCCCCTGGAGAGGGGAAAGGCTACCTCCTCCAGTATTCTGGCCCGGGGAATTGTATAGTCTGTGTCGTCCATGGGGTCTATAGACCTGTGTATTCCATGGGGTCACAAAGAGTTGGACATGCTTGAGTGACTTTTACTTGCACTTTTACAGAAGTGTCTTAGGTATACTTTCTGTTTGATCTGATTGTTAAAAAACTATGCACATAAAGATCAAAATTCAATGAAGTTAATACTTCTTACTGCAATATCAAGGATAGTGAAAGGATAGTGAAAATAGCTTTTTTTTAAATTGAGATACAATTGACATATTATATTTGTTTCAGATGTATAAGATAATGATTCCATATATGTGTATATTGCAAAATGGTGGCCATAATAAATCTAGTTAAACTCTTCAGCACATATAGTTACAGTTTTTTTTCTTGTGATGAGAACTTTTAAGAACTCCTCTCTTAACAACTTTCAATTGTACAATACGGTATTATGAACTTCAGTCATAGTCACCATGCTGTGTGTTACATCCCCGTGACATATATCTTATAAGTGAAAATGTGTACCTTTTGATCCCCTTCACCCATTTTGCCCACCTCATCCGCCCACCAATGGTAATTACCAATCTGTTCTCTGTATCTATGAGCTCAGTTTTTTTTAAAAAAGATTCCACATATATCAACAAGGTCCTATTATAGAGCACAGGGAACAATATCCAATACATTGTAATAATCACGGAAAAAGAACCTGAGAAAGTTGTATATGTGTAACTGGATCACTTTCTGTATATCAAAAATTAACACAAAATTGTGAATCAACTATCCTTCAATTTTTAAAAAATTCCTCATATAAGTGAGATTATATGACATTTGTCTTTGTCAGACATACTTCCCTTAGTAAAATTCCTGCAAGCTTAATTCATGTTGCTGCCAATGGCAGGATTTCCTTGTAAATGATGCTGCAGTGAATATGGGGGCACATATATCTTTTTGAGTTAGTGTATTCATTTTCTTCAGATAAGTACCCAGAAATGGAATTGTTGGGTCATACAGTGGGTCTATTTTAATTTTTTGAAGAACCTCTCTACAAATTTTCCATACTGGCTGCACTGAGTTACATTCCCATCAGCAGTGCACAAGTGTTCCCTACCCCCCATCTTTGCCAATGCTTGTTCTTTCTTGTCATTTTGATAGTAGCCATTCTGTCAGATGTGAAGTGATACATCATTCTGGTTTTGATTTGCATTTTCCTGGTGATTAGTGATGCTGAGCAATTTTTCATGTATTTGTTGCCCATCTATATGTCTTCTTTGGAAAAATGTCTGTTCAGATTCTTTGGCCATTTTAAAATTGTATTGTTTGTTTTTGCTAGAGTTGTATGGGTTTTTTAATATATTTTTGATCAGGTACACGATTTGTGAATATTTCTTCCCATCCCACTGGTTGCCTTTTTGTTTGATTGATGGTTTCCTTTTACTGTGCAGCTTTTCAGTTTGATACAGTTCTACCTGTTGATTTTTGCTTTTGTTGCCTTTGTTTCTGGTGTCAGAAAAAAAAAAAAAAACGTCACCAAGACTGAGGTCAAGACTTTACTGCTTATGTTTTCTTGTTGGAGTTTTCTGTTTTCAGGCCTCACGTTCAAGTCCTTCATTCACTTTGAGCTGCGTTTTGTGTGTGGTGTAAGACCGGGGTGCACTTTCATTCTCTGCAGGTGGCTGTGCAGCTTTCCCAGCACCACTTACTGAAGAGACTGTCCTCTCTCCATTGTATATTCTTGGTGCTTTGCGGTAAATTAATTGACTGTATATGTGTGGGTTATTTCTGCACTCTCTGTTCTGTTTTATGGGTCGATGTGTCTGTTTTGATGCTAATACCATGTTGCTTTGATGGCTGTGACTTTGTGACTTTGTAGTAGTTTGAAACCAGTTAGCATGATGCCTTCTGCTTTATTCTTCTCTCTCAAGATGCTTTGGCTGTTTGAAGTATTTTGTGATTCCATACAAATGTGAGGATTGTTCATTATATCTCTGAAAAATGCCATTGGAATCTTGACAGGGATCATATTGAATCTGCAGGTAGCTTTGGGTAGTAGGGTTGTTTTAACAGTATTAATTCTTCTCATCCCGGAGCACGGAGGGTTTTTCTTCCTTTATTTATGAGGACTTGCTTTGCAGTTAAAATTCTACATAGTTGTGAACAAGTTCTTTTCGGTAAAATATAAACAGTGTGATTGTTCTAGGACACTGTCAGGAAAAATCAAGAACTTCTGTGTGCCTAATCTGTAGATGGAGCCTACGGGCATAGCTTGGGGGAGCAGGTCTGGAGTAGCTTTACTTAATGCATCACACCGCTTAAAACCTGTAAGTAAAGCTACTCCAGGCCTACTGGAGCAGGCAGATTTGTTTCTGGTTGTTTGTATACAAATCTAAATAAGTTAAGGACTGCATTTTCATATTTTGATTTCTAAAACAAAGCTAGCAGTCAAGGGGGAAGAACAGAAGGGTAGACAGGAGACTTATTAGATAGGATAAATTATATGTAAATTATTATTATAATTTTGAGGAAATATTTATAAAATTATAATAAATAAATAATGGGAGAATGAGGAAAGAGGAGGAGAGATGTTTAAAGAATAACACAGGTAAAATTAAAACAGGATACATATTATATAAGTGAATAAAAAAATTCATTAGTTGAAATGCAGGGCTAATATTTGATATTTCTTATAATTATTTTTTGTCATTTAAAAATACTCTAGTAAAGCATGTCGTTAGGCTACAGATGTATGAGAACTCAAATGCAGCTTTTTTTATCTTCCAGTAATTGTAACTCTTGAACACTGTTGGCACTAATTAAGCTACACAGCGCCGTTTCTGGTCACAGCTTGGGGTGGGAGCCAGGGGCTCAGGTGGTCTGGTGTGGAGCCCTGATTCTGCCCCTCATTTGCTGTGTGTCCTTTGGGCAGTTTACTTGCTTTTCTGTGCCTTGCTTCACTTATTTGTACTTTCCTCTTTTTGTACTTGTAAATATTTATTGTGGGGCTTATGTGTCACAGGATCTGCTGCTTAGAAATGCAGTTATGCTGAATATCAAAGAGTACCTGTATACATTTGAGAAAAATTATAGCCGTTGTACTTCAAAGGGCTCATCTATCCATCAGACGCTTCTGGGGCCCTGTTCATGTGTTAGCACTGTTCTTGGTGTTCAGGATACCCCAGAGAGCAGAATCCTTGCCCTCACTGAGCTCCCCTTCAGGAGATGTGGGGAGCAAGTAGGGCTTAAGACATACATAATTGTGTAGCAAAATATTCATGCAAATTATGTTGTCTTCACAGTCAGATATAATCACCTGTGCTCAAGAAGTGGAAATGATGATAAAGCAGTTAGAAGCGCAGCTGGAACAATTAAAACTGACTGTAAAGTCAAAGACAGCCGTCCCAACATCACAAGTCTTTGTAAGCATTGGTCATCAGCTTTGAAACTTGTTTAAGGGTGAATGAACTTTGAAGTCCCATAAAACTGGATTGAAAGTAATTTTAATTGTATTTAATATGGAAAATGTAACACTCGTTTTCTACAAGTTGATCCTGCTCTTTTTGCTTCTTCTGTCATTAATAACCATAGAACTCGGTCGTTGTGAGTTGAATGAGAGGATTTGCTTAGTAAGCAATTGCTACCAAAGTACAGGATACCAGTATTGTCTGTCCGTCGAATTTCTATGATTCTATTGTCTAACTTCATGAGACGTTCACTTGTCTTACGAGAGAATCAATCGCTTTATCCCAGCAGAAGTTCGTGTGTGTTTTTGGGAGTGGTTCATGGTTTTACTAAACAGCGGCGTTTTGTGTCTCCTCCGCAGCCTGTCTTCATCGCGCTCTCCAACCTGTGGACTAGTTTCCAGGATGAAACTGTCTTGATTAGTGTCCTGAGTAACTTAACTACTCATCTTGAGCCGTTCCTGGGGGCTCATAACCTGTTCTTTCCTGAGAAAGTGATGCAAGCTCTTCTTGACGGAGTGACCGTGAAAACTGACGTGTGTAGAATAAAAGAGCACATAGGTAATAGAAATCATCTATTATTTCCTCTTCCTGTTAAAATTACCTCTGGAATAAAGTCACTCTTTTGTTTTAAAATTTTCAGCTTTTATCTTTTTGATAAAATTTTGAATATCTTTCTTGATTATAAGACCACCAATGTTCATTATAGAAAACGTAGAAAACTGTAAATATATAAACTGAAGAGTTTGCTATCCAGCAATAACCACTGGACCATAAAGAAGGCTGATGCTGAAGAATTAATGCTTTCAAACTGTGGTGTTGGAGAAGACTCCTGAGAGTCCCTTGGACTGCAAGGAGCTCCAACCAGTCCATCCTAAAGGAGATCAGTCCTGGGTGTTCGTTGGAAGGACTGATGTTGAAGCTGAAACTCCAATACTTTTGCCACCTCATGCGAAGAGCTGACTCATTTGAAAAGACCCTGATGCTGGGAAAGATTGAAGGCGGGAGGAGAAGGGGACGACAGAGGATGAGATGGTTGGATTTCATCACCAACTCAATGGGCATCAATTTGAGCAAACTCCAGAAGATAGTTAAGGACATGGAAGCCTGGCATGCTGCAGTCCCTGGGGTCACAGAGTCAGACATGACTTAGGAACCGAACAACAATAACCATTCCTGATGTTATTATTAGTGTTTTGATTAAGAGTGATTTCATGTGCTTATGGGTTTCAGCTGTAGTCGTAGTGATTCTGTTAATTGGTTTGTAGTAAAAAAGGATGTTAATCCTTGCTCTGTTTGTGCAAACAAAGCTCCATTTTCTCAGGATGCTGTCTGCCATATGTCTACCCCAGATTCAGGTGGATATTTATGAATCAATAAATGTTACTCCTATAAAATTGAGCTTATTTTAGACCCCTTAATAGATGCACTGATTCTTATAGAAAGGCTGTCTTTACCAATAAACTTCTTTCTATATTTTTAGCCCCTTCTATAATTTGGTTAAACACAACTCAGAATTCATAAGAAATGTCAAAATAGAGTTGGGGAATTGAATTGTTGCCTAAAAAGGAAAGTTTTTCAAGAAAGTGAAATTAAATAGTTTACTCTAAATTTCCTTTTCAAATTCTATTGTTTTTGAATTTGAAAAATAAAATGAAGTGGTAACACTCACTCTTAAACTACTAGGATACATAAAACCTGAACACTAAATCAGAAAGACTTTAAAACATCCTCCCAGTTAAAGTTTTCCTACTCATGTCATTTTGTTAAAACAGCATATCTATGCAATACTAAATGAAATTGAAAAGCTAAAGCTACTTCAGCAGTAGATATTAAACTCAACCATATTGGCAAGATGTGTCATCTCCTGCTATAAATCAGAATTGTTTATGCACTAGAACACAATTTATCAAGTCACTGCTCCAGTGAGTTGGGAGACGCAGTGTTCTGAAAAAATTTATGCTTGCCACATCCCATCACTGTTTGACGCTTTCAGGCACATCAGGAAGAAAGAGGGAAGAAGGTTTGTTTTTTCTAAAGTATGCATTTACTTCCAGCTGTAGCCATGGGATCATTTATAGTGTCTACTGTTTGGATACAGAGCCAGAAACAGGAGTGTAGGTAGCATTGCAAAGGCAAGAAGCTCTGGCATCAGTGCTTTGTAAATGCTCATTTTCAGTTATGTAAAAAAAAAAAAGCAACATGAAGATTTTTTACAAGTGTAAAGAACAAGAATTGCACTTCTTGTATCAAAATTAAGTTACTAAGAGATGTTTCTGTGACTCTTTCTGCTCATTCTCAACCATTTCAAGAAGAGACAGTCCTAGTATATAAGCATCACATTCAAAGTATTTTGCCACGGCGCATATTATGTTACTAAGAGCTACGGTGTCTTGAAAGAAGTTAATTTATTTCTGTTTTAGTCACATAGCAGCCAGTCTCTTGGCTCATTTGCTCAATGAATAAGGTTTCTCTTGTACTCCTCTTTCATTTTAGAAGATAGAGTAAATGCGGCAGATTTCAAAAAACTGGAGTGGCTTTTCCCAGAAACAACAGCCAATTTTGATAAATTATTGATTCAGTATCGGGGATTTTGTGCTTACACTTTTGCTACAACAGATGGTCTTCTCCTTCCAGGTACATCATTGGAAATAATACTGTTCTCCCTTCTCAAATTATTTTTATTGAATTGAAGTGTGCTTATTGTCACTCATTCACTTTGTAAAACTTCATGGAATCTAATGTTGAACTAGGAAAGGAGCTACAAATGTGATCCAAACAAAGTATTTATCTTTGAAGCGCTTGCAGCATAACCTGATAAACTGACATAAATAAGTCACAATGCAAGTGATAAGTGATGGAATGTATATAATGAAATATGAGTGCTGCAATGTCATAAGAGGGGGATGACTCATATGTCAGTGAAGGATTCCAGAAACATTATATGGCATTCCTAAAATATGTCGTCTTCCAAAGTGATTACTTGAAAGAGCAACACTAGTGTGACTGATGTTTATTAAGAAATATTCTTTGTCACTTTATGGCTCTATCCCATTAACATAGATCAGTATTTCTGTGGAAGTCAGATCCCACTAAAGAAATGGCCAGTGTTTTATCAAGTCAAATTCCCCTATGAGGTATATGTATTATAGAACTTCTCCAAAATGAAATAAATCAGAAATTGAGAGGAAAGTAAATTATTGTTCAAAAAGTGCCATGTGAATTAGAAATAGAATTATTACAAAGAATTATTGGGATTGTGTGTATGCAGCGTAGAGAACATAGACACTGACTGATTTTTTTATGGTAGTAGATTTTTTTATTATGGGAATAATAAAAGGTTTACCTTGGGGAACTGAGAAGAGTATTCTGAGGTCCCTTGAGGGTCGCTGATCCTGGGGAGAAACCAAACAAGAGCCATGAAGAAGTGAAGAGAAGGAATGGAGGTGGTTTCTTTCTTTCCTGTTCTCTTTTTTCCTTCCCTTCCCGCCCCCCCACCCCAATTTCTCTCTCTCTCTCTCTCTCTCTCTCTGTTCACAAATACGCACGGAAGGGAGTCATGAGATAGAGAGAAACATGGATGCAGAGTGAAGCGAGCGGTACCTCCGTGTGGCTGGAAAAGCTATGGACCTGCGCTTGGAGAGCCTGGTTTCTAGTCCCCATTGTCTGTTAGTAAACAGTAACTTTGAGCAAATCTTGTGCTTTGGACCCCAGTTTCCAGGTCCAGAAAAAGAGAAGGACCAGCTAGGAAATCTCTTTGGTTCCTTCCAGCTCCCATCAACTGTGATTCTAAGAAAGGAGGAGAATGAGAAAGGTAGACAGACTTGCGGGGCTTTGGGTTTTCGCCTCTTTTCTGAACCAGCTAGTCTGGAGACTTCATTTCTGCTTGTTGCGTTGCTTCTCCTTCTCCACCGCTCCCTGGGCAGTAGGCGCCCCCGCTGCCTGGGAGGAATGCTTAGGAGTCCCTCCCGCCTCAGGACTGCAGATCACAGGGCTTGACTCCGCAGGTGATGCTGGGGCTTACCCGACAGAGTCCTTTCAGATGACATCGTTGACTTTTTTTTTTTTTTAATTAATTTATTTATTTATTTTTATCACAACCATAGTGTATCTTTTTTTTTTTTTTTTTTTTACATGTATTCCCCATCCCGGTCCCCCCTCCCACCTCCCTCTCCACCCAATCCCTCTGGGTCTTCCCAGTGCACCAGGCCCGAGCACTTGTCACTTTATTGTCTGCCCCTTCTTCCCTAGCGCCCTGCTCCAGCCCCATTGGCCTTGCTATTCCCGAACCTCCCAAGCCCGTTCTGCACCTCAAAGCTTTTGCGCTGACTATTCCCTCTGCTTGGACCACTCTCCCCCGCCCCCACAGAGCTACGTGCCTTGCTGCCCCATCTTATTCAGCCTTCTCTGTTCACCCAGTTTAAAGTATGGATCCCACCCTCCTTCCCCCGACGGTTTAGCCTGCCTCATTTACTTACTTGTTCTCTGTAGCACTGATCACTCAGAGCCTGTGCTGTGTTTATTGATTTGTTTTCACTGTATCCTCAATACCAACCACGGGTCAGTCAGTATTTGTTGAATAAGTGAAAGAATGAATAATTAAAGAATGTTACTATTTCCTATGTAATTCCCACACACTGTGGATACTTATAACCCATATTTTATGTAGTATCTTTTCATAGTGGGAAATACTTCCTAACTCGCAAGTGTACATTTTGGGGAAAATGTCTCATTTTTGTAGTTCTTACCAAATTATTTTTAAAACAATGCTTCTAGTAGTTGGTTTAAGGAGATTTGGAAAAACCTGCTAGATGACTAAGTGGCTTCACATAGAAGATTTTTAAGCAGCTTATATCTGGATAGTGAACTATATTTAGATAAAATCATAATTTAAAGCTTAACAATATAGTACTTCCCTGGCAGTCCAGGGTTAAGACTCCACGCTTCCAATGCAGGGGGCACAGTTTCAATCCCTAGTCAGGGAATGAAGATCCTGTATGTGGCATGGTGTGCCACCCCCCCCAAATTAAAAATATAAAACAAATTTCTTTTGAATTTTACATAAATGTAATTTAACAAAATGTGTAACTTAAAACTGCTAGTTGTAGCATTTTAGCTGAATAAAGACACGTGATGTGTTAAAAATGGAGTATGAGGGAAGGGTTCCATGAGTGTAAATATTATAAACATAGAATCACTGAGTGTTTCCTATCTAATTTAGTTCCTTTTTGTAATTTTCAGGAAATCCATCAATTGGAATTTTGAAATATAAAGATAAGTATTATACTTTCAATACCAGAGATGCTGCATATTCATTTGCAGAAAACCCTGAAAATTACATTGATATAATTAGAGAAAAAGCCAAAACAAATGTAGAATTGATTCAGCTACTGGAACTTCATCAACAGTTTGAAACGCTTATTCAGTATTCTCAGGTGAGCAGGGCTGGCGTTTTAAGAATTTATGACATTTAAGAATGTAGTTGATAAAAAAGTTACATTTTGTTGTAGAATGCTCCCCAAGTCCAGGCAGGAGACACGGTCAGATGAGGGCCTTTACAGATTATCTGAAAGGCGTTCACATCCCAAGATGGAAACGAAGGAAATCCACAAAGAATAAGTGAAAACAAGATAAGGAGTCAGGCTGATGAATTAGGCTGGAAAAATTCTGGAAGAACAAGACTACATTGGGATAAATCATTGAAACTACAGCATTTCCTTGTCTGAACTGAAGGAGCTCCGTACGAGGAATACAGGTGCTAACTCATGCTCAGAGGTGTGAGATCAGTTAGCAGGTTTAAGTGGCAGCAGTCTGAAGGCCGCAGATGAATCTGAAGGCGTGTTTCTGTGTGAGACGGTGCCTGTCCCCTAGTGCATTCAATGGACATGTCCTGAACTGCTGGCCGTGTGCCAGGCGCGATTCTTGGCGCCGTGAGCAGAGCGGGAACAGTCCCTGCCTGCAGGCGTTCCCGTTCTGCTGCTGCAGATCCTCATTTTCTCCTTGCCTCTCATTTTCACTGTTCGGCTTTTAATTGCTCTGTCATCCTCTCTGGTTTAATTTACCCCTTTTCAACTCACTAAAGTAAAACCCTGCAATACATAATTTATGAATTTTTTAATATGTATCAACATTCTAATGATCAAGCAGGTGGGTCTGGGCCGGACTCACCGGGCTGGCAAGGACCGCAGTAGTAATCAGTAGGAGGAAGATGGGGCTAGGGATGGTGAGGCACGGAGGGGGTCTGAATGCTTGGGCCAGGAGCCCGAGAACCAGCCAGGGATGACGTGGTTGAAAGGCATCTGCCATTGGCGCTCTAGTTCTGACGCCCTTCCGCCAGCCTGTTGAGATGCTGCAGCTGTCCTTTTAAGGTAGCAGGAAGACAGGGAAAGACTCGACTCAGGTAACCAGAAAGGTGTGCTGAGTGTGGGTATCTTTTCTATTAAAGAGCAATTTCCCCCTATATTCCTGGTTTTCCCTTTCTGTGTACTTAATCCTTTATTAACCTTCACTACCCTTAGAAGTGAATATTCCCTCTCCATATTTCAATACTGTATTCATAATTTTTACTTGCTGTTTACTTGTATTAATATAATATTGTTATCTTTCAGCATCTTTTAATCTCCCTAATTATATCATAAGGTCATTTTGAAGGCAGAAATTATATCTTATGCTAAATAGTAGGCACTTAGTAAATCATCTGTTTCTTGATTTGGGGAAAGAAGTTAATCTATTTGCCCTCCTCTTCTCTAGGACTGGAGTTTCTTAAGCCTCTCCACCTGCTCCAGCAGCCTCATTTCCAGTATAATCATAACTTGTTTAGCCTGGAATTATTGAATACTCAATAGTTTAATACTGTAGTGAGCCTCTGGGTGCTTTGGCAGAAAAATGAATGTATTCAACTAAAATGGATAATACTCTGCTGTGTATACATTCTTTAAGATATATTCTAAAGGTGTTCTGATACTTTAAACAAGCATGATTTATACCTAATACTTAATAGCTATTCTAAGCTTCAAGCCATTTCCAATAAGGTATTCACTTATGCTTCACATTGTGAAAACTGGAGAGGGCATTTGATTTGGGAACAAGTGATGTCATGTTTTACCCTTTCAAAATGTACCTCCTACATTAAGTTCATAAAATCGGGCACAAATTCACAATGCCCAGGAAATTAATTACATTTGGCTCACTTTAATTATGAGCTTTTCTTTTTTTTTTCTTTGCTGATATTTACAAGTATGTTTTATATTCTTCCTAATGTTTTGTTAATCTTAGCTAAATATTTTAGTTATCTGTAAAATGTTTATTTTTTTAGAAATATTAATTATAAAACTGTGCTTCTTTAGACGAAAGCGGTTGACAAACGTTATATAAAACCAATTACAAAATGTGAAACTGGCACTCAGACGGATACGCACTTGTTGCCACCAACAATTGTGAGATCATATGAGTGGAATGAATGGGAATTAAGAAGAAAAGCTATAAAATTGGTTTGTAACAATATTATCTTCTAAATTATTTATAGTTGGAGAATTTTGAAGAATTTTAATCTGTTATTCATAGAGTTGGTATGCTAAATTATTTACATGAAATAGTGAGTTGTACAGTTTTTTTGCTAAAATAAAAATAATTAGCATAATTTATGATTTTCTAGCTTTACAACATTATCTTCTAGTATCAAGCATATGTAGAAATATAAAAGCATGAAGCTGCTCTCAAATTTTATCAGTCAGTAACTATAACAATAATAGTTGCTGTCCTTCTGTCTCTCTATTGATCTATATAATGGTTTTAATCTATTGTGCCAACCTGTGGTGTGCTGGAGAAGGCAATGGCGCCCCACTCCAGTGCTCTTGCCTGGAAAATCCCATGGGCGGAGGAGCCTGGTGGGCTGCAGTCCATGGGGTCGCAAAGAGTCGGACACGACTGAGCGACTTCACTTTCATTTTTCACTTTCATGCATTGGAGAAGGAAACGGCAACCCACTCCAGTGTTCTTGCCTGGAGAATCCCAGGGACGGGGGAGCCTGGTGGGCTGCCGTCTGTGGGGTCGCACAGAGTCGGACACGACTGAAGCGACTTAGCAGCAGCAGCAGCAGCATGGGATGCTAGTATTTAAAGCCCTCCAGCTTCTTCTAATCATTTAAAGCATACTCTTCTCCTTTTTGGACTTTCTTGAGAAGCAGAAATATACCTCTATTATATCACAAATACGTTCTCCTCTTGTCAACTTGTTGTTTTCAGACACTTGACACGCCTGTCCTTCTGATTCTTAGTCATCTTAATCACAGCCGGTACCTACCCTTGAGGGCTTCCCAGGTGATGCTAGCGCTAAAGAACCTGCCCGCCAATGCAGGAGACATAAGAGATGCAGGTTCAATCCCTGGGTCGGGAAGCTCCCCTGGAGGAGGGCATGGCAACCCACTCCAGTGTTCTTGCCCGGAGAATCCCTTGGACAGAGGGTCCTGGAGGGCTGTAGTCCGTGGGGTTGCAAAGAGTCGGACACAACTGAAGTGGCTTAGCGCTCAGGCATGCACCTGCCCTGGAAGTCTGTCGTTAAAACTTTCATCCTGTCTGACTCAGAGGAATTCCCTCCACTCATCCTTGGTATAGTATCTTGTCATTTTAAACAGCAAATATGGTGTGAAGGAACAGACTCTTTTTTATCTGTAGCCTTTTCTCAGTATATTTTACCCATCTCTTTAACTGAAATCAGGTATGGAAATAAAGACTACTCATGTGAGAACAGAGGCTATTTTTTTAAAGACTGCTGCATCCAGGGAGTCGGTCACCATCACTTGCACTGGGCAGGGACTCAAAGTTGGGGAGAGGAGTGAAAAAGCCTTATAGTGAAGAAGGGGAGGCTTGGGTGTTCCTCTGGAGGAAGATGACAGGAACCTCAGTTCAGTTCAGCCCCTCGGTCATGTCTGACTCTGCGACCCCATGGACCGCAGCACGCCAGGCCTCCCCTTCCGTCACCAACTCCCAGAGCCTGCTCAGACTCATGTCCATCAAGTCGGTGATGCCATCCAACCATCTCATCCTCTGTCATCCCCTTCTCTTCTGCCTTCAATCTTTCCCAGCATCAGGGTCTTTTCCAATGAGTCAGTTCTTTGCATCAGGTGGCCAAAGTACTGGAGCTTCAGCATCAGTCCTTCCAATGACTATTCAGGACTGATCTCCTTTAGGATGGACTGGCTGGATCTTCTTGCAGTCCAAGGGACAGGAAACTAGAGGGGGGCTAACTCGAGGTGGGCTAGCTAGCAGCAGGGCATCTTATGTGATTGGCTCAGTGCGCATTTTAGGCTTTCTCCGACTGGTTCAGAGTTGGAAGGGGAGGCAGCTGAGCTGATTGCTACAGCTACTGAGGTTGCGTCTATCTTCTGAGACTGGTTGCTGCGGAGGTTGTCGGTTAGAGCTCTGTGTCCCATGAGGCCCAGCCTGCCTGTCTGTCTGTTCAGTCTCCCTTGTAGCTAACCATACCAGTTCCCTTGCTCCCCTCTCTGGCGGGAACTCCTCAGCCCCTGATTTCTCGAGATGAGAAAGCGTCAGCTTCCTGGTGTATCGTCCGATCGCCGTACATTAGCATCCTCACCGGGTACTCTCTCGTAGCTCTTGAAGCTCCCATTCCCTGCGTTCCTTTCTGTTACCTACTAGCCTTGCACGAAGGCATCAGATGCGCACTGGGCGGCTTACACACCCCGCCGCTGTGTTCTCCAGGAACTGAGCCCAGCAGGCGACACTGATGCCCTTCTGTTGAGCGGTGTAACCGAAGCGAAGTGAAATTCTACCCCACTGACAGAGGCGGCATATTAAGTTGGCCTTGAGAGACAGATAGGCAGTGGGGAAGAGGGGAGTGGTGGTTGGTCAGACTGTGAGAAGTAAACGTTAGATCTGGGCTGGAAATTTTAAGAAGATAACGGAGTGTTCAGTGGGGCGGAACTTTGTATTGACTGGACCCTCTCTTCTCAATCTTCAACTTCATTCTGATCCCCACCTTAGATCGAATTACCCCCCGATTTGCAGCATGTTGAATGCCAGCTCCCCATATATTACCCAGTACAACTTGTTGATAAGACAAAACTGAGTATATGGCTTACAGTGATAAGGGAAACCACCCCTTCAGCGGAGCTTTGCAGGGTCTCGGAGTGGGGAAGGGCAAGGTCAGGATTTATTGAGACTGAAGTTTAGTTGAAGGTAGGTGTTCCAGTGCCCGGGATCAGTCGGGGGATGAGTTGCGGGCTTGAATTGGGTTGGGTAGAGATCATGAAAAAAGCAGTCCAGGATTGATGGAAATAAGCAAGCTGAATCTGAAGGCAGCTGATACAGAGTCCCGGGGCTGCTTCTCTGTGTTAACACTTACTGCTGAAGAGCTGAGGTGTCTTTCAGGACACTCTGCAACCAAGTCAAGTGATTTGCTTTGGCCAGAGACTCTCAGAATAGTAAAATTATGCTAATGAAGACAGGAGTAGTAAAGCCCTACTGATGTAGACAGTGAGTTGTGTGCAGAAGTAGTTCTCCATCATCTGCAGCATCTCAAACTCTGAAATGTTTCCTCTAATTCTAGGTCTCTCCTTCTTCACTCACATGTTCTAAGCCCTTCTGAGTTTTTTCCTGGGGCTTCACCACAGCTTCAGTAAAACCCTTCTTCTCCTTTATATAAGCTCTTCCATGCTTCCCAGCTGGAGTACTCTGTTTAACCTCATGTTTACTAGTAATATGTAAAAGGAGTAAGCAAAATGTAGAATAATATAAAATATTATCTGGAAACATCTGAGCATTTCAAATTAAGTGTTGGGTGAAGCCCATTTAAGTAAGACAATGGAAATCTTAAAATTTTTGTCTTTTAAACAAATAAACCAAGAATGGTGGGGAAAAAAATCCAAGTGGTATGACTCTCAAAGTGTAATAATGAATTGAGCTCACTGTACATTTGAATCTGTATGTTTTTCACTTTAGGTTTTTATGTCTATTTTCATTTATCTATTTTCCTACTTCTCAGCAAAGGGTATTTATTTCCTAATACGCTCTAAATTGTCTAATATTTTAATGATTTGTAGAAACATGCTGTGTTGTAGGACTAATTTCTTTGTGGATGGAGAGGAGGGGGAAGAAAAAGGCAGATATTAGCTATTACCTTAGAGTAAAAAGCAGATATTAACTAGTATCTTAGAGTATTTTATTTGTTTTTTAGAGGAGTGTTCATTCCTGTGTAATTCTCTTTCCACTTAGGCCAATTTGCGTCGGAAAGTCACGCACTCCATGCAGACTGATCACAGTCACATGAGAAGAGAAAACTGTTCTCAGGTCTACCCTTCGAAGACCGTCGGCACGCAGTCCCTGCGGGACGGCTGCAGCCGCGTGCCGCGGCCCCAGATCTACGTCGCTGGTCTCCGAGGGGGCCAGACCAAGGCCACCCACGGAGTCAAGGTGAACCTAACTAGAGCGGTTGATGAAACCTAGTTAGAGCCCGAGGTTTCGATGTAGATACCACTAACTTATGAACAGTGGCAAATATTTAAGAGTACGTTTGCATCTGTGAAAATTCACTGATTTGGGGGGCGGGGGTGCTGGTACATGCATTGGTGGTATGAATGTTTTTGGATTCTCATTTATATGCACTGTCAAAACTCCTACAAAAAAGGGAACTTTGTTTTCTGTAATACATTTTTCATTCTATTAAAATTGAAAGGTAAACTCTGTCCATTCCTCTTTGACTTCTAAGAAAACGTTTAGCAGCATTGAGACTGAAATTATTAGATATTAATATATTAAAATATGATTAGATATTTATATATAAGATTATTATGCTTGGGATGGAAATTTATTTAGATAACTTTGTATACATTAATAGCAGATTATTATGCCTGGGATAGAAGTTTATTTCTAAAATCATGTTTAATGTTGAACATTAAAAAATATAAATGTAGTTAACAGTTTCAGCCTCATTAGCTATCCAATGTAACATGAATTAAATTGATATAAGACTTCATTAATTTGGAACAGTTAGAACAAAGACCCAAATGATGTTTTTATTTTTATTTATTTATCCCAATTGAGGTCTTGATTTTAATACTTCAATATTCCTTTACTCAGATTATTTTATCTGTTTATCTTTTACCTAGCACAAATTTGTTGAACACTTCTTCATTTTTTTTTAACCTCTCATTTCTCTTTTCTAATTGTAATAGTACTTAAAATGTAATCTTAAATCACAGTTGTGATCACGTGATCTCTTTTAAAATCTGGAAATTTCACATGGTTCTGGCCTCTGGCCCCTTGAAAAGACTGGACTATCGGGCAGCACTCGGCCAGCCTTCTGTAAGCGGTGACTGTGCCCTTTCGTAGGGCGGGTGCATCTGGTTGCACCTTAGGGAGCAGGTGCAACTCCCGCAGCCTCCCGGGGCCCCCACTGCACCCCTTCGCCCTGTCTGCCTGACTGCACAGCAGCTGTGTTTCAGGCCCCTGTGAATTGCTGATAGCTGACTTTCAGAGCCGTTGTTTTGCCGCCTTACAGACTCCCGATGCACACGGATGGATAATGAAGACTCTCAGATGGAGGGGCCGTTAAAACTTGCCTCGGCAGCTGGGGGTCATTTGACTTAGGTGACTCTAAGGGGTTTGTATAGTTTGCTTTCTACATAGATTAAATGTTACTTACCTTAATAGCATGATATGCTTCAAAATCCATTTTCCACATATATTACAGAGGTAAACTTCAAAAAACAGATCTGCTTCTCAGTTGTCATGATTTTCATACCTATAGTTTAATTTTTTAATTGAAGGTATAGTTGATTTACAATGTTACGCAAAGGGATTCACTTATATCTTTTTTATATTCTTTTCCATTATGGTTATCATAAGATACTGAATTTAGTTCCCTCTGTTATACAGTAGGACCTTGCTGTTTAATCATACCTGTCATTTAAAAGTGATGTTAAAGACAGGTTGGCTGGCTGTTGAGGCAAAAACCCTGGGGGTGAGAGTGGGGGTGGGAGGGCTCCGTCCCTGAAGACGGTGGGATGATTAAAGGTAGTACTAACCTTTACAAATGCAGTAATTTGATTTTACCTATTCTAATCAACCCTCTTTTGATCTTACAAGATTCCTAAACACAAAAAAGGATGGCCGATAAACCACAGTTTAGGGTTCTGAAGTTAGGGCTGAAAGCGGAATTGCCAAGCAAATAAAAACACGAAATACAATTTGAAAAGCTAATATCAGAAAGCTGTCTGGTAAGAATAAAAGAATCAGAACAAAGGGAGCTAGGTCACAAGGTCAACTCGTCCTCTCCCAGGTCCTCTCTGAAGATGTCTGACCGTGTTGGGCCCAGTGTCAGTTGGTCAGCACCATTTCCGCAGGCCCTAGCCCGAATTCATTTTCTCTGCCAAACTTGTTTCTCCCTCTGTATTTCCTTCTGTGGTCAAAGGCATCACCACCCACTCAGCATAAATTAAAAACTTCTGGACTGCCTCCCACAGCCCCTACACTTAACCAGTCATTGCACCTTGTTGATTTGGCTTCAGCTGCCTTTGAGATCCGTGTCTTCCTAGTCTTACTGCTGTTGTCATAATTTAGGATTTAGAACTATTGCCTGATTCACCAGCATAATTTTTGTAACATACAAATCTGATCAGATCACCTGGCTCCCTCCCCACCAAGCCTCACTCCCCTTACTTAAAAAGACACTTTTTTCATTATCTAGGGGATAAAGTAAAAATTCCTTAACACGTGAGACTTTTCAAAATATATCCCTTTATCATTCAGTTGCATTTTCTGCCTCCATGCTCTCTGTATACATTATATACATAGTAGGCAGAGTCCAAACGGTCAATATATTAGAGTCTTTAATACACCTTTGTCCCCTGGAATAGACTCCACAGACAGTCCTAGGAAATGTTTGTCCCCATGAAATCTGTTCATCGGTTCAGTTCAGTCACTCAGTCGTGTCCGACTCATTGCAACTCCATGGACTGCAGCACGCCAGGCCTCCCTGTCCATCACTGACTCCCGGAGTTTACTCAAACTCATGTCCATTGAGTCGGTGATGCCATCCAACCATCTCATCCTCTGTCATCCCCTTCTTCTCCTGCCCTCAATCTTTCCCAGCATCAGGGTCTTTTCAAATGAGCCAGCTCTTCGCATCAGGTGGCCAAAGTATTGGAGTTTCAGCTTCAACATCAGTCCTTCCAATGAACACCCAGGACTGATCTTCTTTAGGATGGACTGGTTGGATCTCCTTGCAGTCCAAGGGACTCTCAAGAGTCTCCTCCAACACCACAGTTCAAAAGCATCAATTCTTCAGTGCTCAGCTTTCTTTATAGTCCAACTCTCACATCCATACATGACCACTGGAAAAACCATAGCTTTGATTAGACAGACCTTTGCTGGCAAAGTAATGTCTCTGCTTTTTAATATGCTGTTTAGGTGGGTCATAACTTTTCTTCCAAGGAGCAAGTGTCTTTTAATTTCATGGCTGCAGTCACCATCTGCAGTGATTTTGGAGCCCCAAAAATAAAGTCTGTGACTGTTTCCCCATCTATTTGCCATGAAGTGATGGGACCAGATGCCATAATCTTAGTTTTCTGAATGTTGAGGATGAAGCCAACTTTATCACTCTCCTCTTTCACTTTCATCAAGAGGTTCTTTAGTTCTTCTTCACTTTCTGCCATAAGGGTGGTGTTATCTGCATATCTGAGGTTATTGATATTTCTCCCAGCAATCTTGATTCCAGCCTGTGCTTCTTCCAGCCCAGCGTTTCTCATGATGTACTCTGCATATAAGTTAAATAAGCAGGGTGACAATATACAGCCTTGACATACTCCTTTTCCTATTTGGAACCAATCTGTTGTTCCATGTCCAGTTCTAACTGTTGCTTCCTGACCTGTATACACATTTCTCAGGAGGCAGGTCAGGTGGTTTGGTATTCCCATCTCTTTAAGAATGTTCCACAGTTTGTTGTGATCCACACAGTCAAAGGCTTTGGCATAGTCAATAGAGCAGAAATAGATGTTTTTCTGGAACTCTCTTGCTTTTTTGATGATCCAGTGGATGTTGGCAATTTTATCTCTGGTTCCTCTGCCTTTTCTAAATCCAGCTTGAACATCTGTTTATCAGATTTCATTTTTTCGGTGAAGGTTTTCCCCATCACCTTTGAGAGAATTAATTTTTCTTCCTTGGGTTTTCACAGGGGTTTATACATACTTTTACTAAAATAGGGCTTGAAGTATAAAGGTCTGTATGTGTCCCTCTATATTTACCATTAGACTGTGCATTTCCTGAGATCTGAGTTGTGTTTTGGCCATTTTTACATCCCTACTATTGTTACTGTATCTTGTTGGATGAATGAAGTTTTTAAAAAGGGAATGAAAGAAAGGACAGACTGGAAGCAAGGTATTGGTTGAGTGATTATTTTCATTGTCAAGGTGATAGTTCAGTGGCAAAGTAGTTATTGGAAATTAAAAGGAAGAAACACAGAGAGGAAAACGGAGATCATCTTTGGGGAAATTGGTGGAAAATAAAGTTGGATGAGCAGGGTTGGTGTAGATTTTGGAAAACTCTGAAAGACAGAGGAATGTGTTGCCTTTCTGTAGTATGATATTAAAAAAAACAACAACAAAAAACTGTGGCTGATCCTGGAACAGAAGATCCAGTGAGGGAGAGAGATGCTAGCATCGGTGAGGTGGAGAAAAGTGAAAGTGAGAGTTGCTCAGTCGTGTCTGACTCTTTGTGACCCCATGGACTAGACAGGCCATGGAATTCTCCAGGCCAGAATACTGGAGTGGGTAGCCTTTCCCTTCTGCAGGGCATCTTCGCAACCCAGGGCTGAACCCAGGTCTCCCACACTGCAGGCGGATTCTTTACCCGCTGAGCCACCAGAGTGAGATGGAGAGGAAGCTGTTAACAAGGGCCAGGGCATCGTGGTGTTGGATGACAGGAAGGGACGAATGTGAGATTTAAGGGAGGCGATATAACAGCTCAGGAAAGGGAAGGGGAAATCAGAGTTTCTACCCTGGGAAACAGAGGATGATATGAGAAGGGGAAGTGGTTGGTCAAAAAAGATAATGTGTGCTGTACTAGAAATTTTGAATTTAAGAAATGACAAAGAAAGAAAAGCAGAGGTGACTAGAATTTGATCTGGAGAAGGGTAGTTTGGGGGATCATCCCCAATGAATGGGGCTGGAATGAGGAGGAAGAGAAGACAGAGAAGCAGTCAAAAGAGTAGGAAAAAATGTAAAGCAGTCTCTGTGATCACAGAAGTAAGGTCTAGGTCTTCTTATTATTAGCTGTGTTATCTGGTCTCTCCCCGCTGAGTTTTTTCATCATCAGAATTGGGATAATGGTTCCCGACTCATTGGCTTGTCTGAGAGGATTAAACCAGTTCAGTTCAGCTGCTCAGTCGTGTCTGACTCTTTGCGACCCCATGGACTGCAGCAGCCAGGCCTCCCAGTCCATCACCAACT